CAGAGCTCAGAGGGCCCTACCCAAAAGCCTGAAGTTCCCTGGGCCCTGGGAGAGCTCACATGGCTGGGTGGGAGGTCCCATCCCTCAACCACTCCAAGGTGTAACAGGCTCAGGGGGTACAAACCGCAGCGATCCAAGAGGTGGCTTGGCAAAGGGAATTCCCAGGAAGGTGTGGACCCCCACATCGGTGCCCTTCACGTGGACGAGGCTGCCCCGCACCTGCCCTGTGTGAGTGGTCCTGATGGGGCTGGCTGAGTCCTGACCTGTGGGTGGAGAGAAGCACATGAGAGTTGGGTCTGCATCAGTAGTCAGGCATACCATGGCTGTTGCTGCCTCTTTGCCTTTGTCACCTCAGTATGTCAACGGAACCTGTGCTGAAAACACTGGCTTCACACACTATCTGCCAGTCACACTGTCCCCTCACCACCACTGTGTTCACCTGGCCTGGCACAACCCATGCCACAAGGCTCACTAAGGGTCCTTGGGATGTGGTACCATTCAGCACCAGGAGTTTCCCTCATTGTGTCTCATGTGCTGAGGGAGCAAGCATCCTTCTACCAACCCTGCCGGGTATGCAATGTACTAAGAGGACTGTAGGAATTAGGCTGAAAGTTTCCAGTCTTCATAGATGTTATGCTGGAGGTGGCAGGAGATGCCAAGAGGAAAACATTCTCTGGTTTGGTGCATAGCCTGAGTGATAGAATGCCTGCCTACCAACTGCAAGGTCCTGAGTTCCAGCACCAGTACCACTAAAAATAAACAAATAATTTTTAAAAAGAGAAAAAAAAGAATGCATCCACCGTTCAAGTAGTGGATGAGGGGAGCAAGGAGAGATCAGCACAGCTGTGACCAGACCATGAAAAGCCTGGCTTGCTGTGACGGGGGCCCAGCAGGGAGTTAAGGCCATTGAAAGTCACCTATGGTCCATGTAAACTTAGGTAGTCCAATTCTGATAATTGGACTACCAATTATCAGGGGGATGATGAATACCTTGGGTTTGTTCACCCTTTAAACAGGGCCATTCCTGGGTGCTTTGCATCCATCAGGCAGTTCTGAACCTCTGTGTGCCTCAGTGTGCAGGAAGGTGAATATTCAGGCCTACGGTCCCCTAATATTTTGTTATCTGTCCTGGATCCCATCTCCCTGGTGCCTTCCCTCCCACAGTATCACCTTCTAACTCTAGAAATGGCAGATCCTGTTTCCATAAAAAAAGAAAAAAAAAAAACCACTCTCAAGAAGCTACTGTTCCCCTCCTCCATTAGATCCTTGTGCATTACCAAGTTTGTGCCTCCTGGTGGGGCTGAAGCCAAAACAGCAAGTGACTCAGGCACCAGAGACTGCAATCAACCAACACCTTTCCAGGTCCAAATATGCACCCAGACCCTAGTAACATGCTGTCTACTCAAGATACCCTACAAGAGTAGGTCTCTGTCCATGTAACTCATTGTGGTCACCAGTCACTGATGCCTGATACTTGTTATAGAAAAGGACAAATTTGCTGAGAGTTCCTGTTAGAGACTGGCTAGACTAATGATGCTTCATCCTCAGAGAGAGGTCCTCTCTGAGATGCCATGAGGAAGCTGAGCTTGTTAATGGGTTGAAGTGTCTCTTGTGTAAGGCCAGATCCAGAAAGTGATGATTGTGACCACTTAGGTGAAAAACTAAGGGTGAGCTCACGTATCTCTTCTTAGATGATATCCTGGGGCATTGTAGGTAGACCCGGAGACCTTGATGGACCCTGTAAGGCAAGCCAGGACTGGGAAGGACAGTGTTCTCTTATAGCTTGTCTGTGATTCTCAACCTATTAGCCTAAGCCAAAGATAGTTCAGAACACGAGTCATGAGTGGGTCAGGCAGATCTTGCCTAGAAAGGCCTGGTGGCTTCTCAGAGCCTGATCCAGAGCAGGAAAGGGTGTAAGGTAGGGAGCCCAGCAAGGATTGACTACAGGTGAGGTGAGCAGGGGTATCTTAGGGCAGATTAGATTGGGGATCGGGGGAGGTATCATCAGTGCTCACACCAGAAGACATTGGGGTGAGTGAGATCAACGGCTGCACGTACATTCTGGGCGAGGAGCCCTGTAGGCATGAGCTTCTGATAGGAGCCTGGAGAGTACGTGGCACAAACAGGGTACATCCCCTTCGCCCTGGAAGCCAAGCTATGCCTTTGCCCCAGATCGGGTTCATAGTATGAAATGAACCCAAGTGGCCTCTCTCTTCAACTTTGGGATGTGGTGCCCCTGTCTTGTATATCCCCTAGAGCCAATAACTTTACCTGGGTCCCTCTGGTGGGTGCTAGGATACCTCTTTGGTCAATGGGGTGACACATTCAAAGCTAAATGGCAGTATGAAGGTATTATATTATTATTACCCATGGGCCATTAGCAGCTACAGCCGCAGTCACAGCCACACAAAAAAGAGGAATATACCCTGAATCCTGCTTTTCTGTTGGAGGCATCAGCCCTGCAGTGAATGTGAGAGCCCTGGCCTCCCTCCTCAAAGTCCTCAGACATCTCTGATCTTCTCTAGGGCATAAGGGGAGGGGGACATGAGCACTTATGAAGGCTGCAGAGTGGGTGTACCTTTCACATGCTGTCATCTGTCATGTCCACCAGCAACTGCCTGCCTAGAACAGGGAGGAACTACAAGCTCCTCTTGTAGTCTGGCTCTGCTCTGCACAACGTGGCAGATCTTATCCTGGTCTCTGTTGTCCCCTGAAGGAGTCTCACCCTGGACCTGAAATGGGAGAAGCAGAAGCCCAAAGGCTATAGCATTCAGCCAGGCTGCAAGTCCTTCCAGCAGCATGGTTGGCTCACAGGTCTTTTTCCTGTGCTACCATGACTCATCAACAGGAGCAATTCACCTGAGTCTTGCCTAGGCAGTAGGTGGGGAGCCAGGTGGGTCTGGGAAAGGTTGTTCCTGCAGAAGAGTGGCACTGACAGGTAGAGGTTGTCAGGAGCCAGTGGCCAGAACTTGGGGCATAACCCTCTCCCTTTTTCCTGCTCTCCCTTTAGCATCCAGCAAAGGTGCTTGTGGTTTCCACAGCTTATGAAATACCAGGAGCCCTGTCCTCAGTCCTGAGGTCACTATGTTCACTGAGTAGAAAGTTGTAATGGAGAAGCCAGGAGGGCTACTCTGAAGAGGAGCAGCCTCAGGATCCCACAGATGGACAATGGGACCCACCTTTCAAGGGCCTACAGGAACCCCTTGAGCAAAGGCAGGAGCTGTAACCTGTGTTCTTTATCCTGAAATTCCTCCTTGCTCTCAAGGACTTATAGTTTACAGGTTCCTCCTTCAAGGTCCCTTATTCCTTCGAGTCATGGTCTGAGGGTCTGCACAGACCCCTTCCTATTTGGGATTGACTGTCCCATTGAAATACACTTGTGAGTGTGGCAATTAATCAGAACCCATCCTCTTATCCACCCAACCTCCACTCTGTGGCTACCCTGGTGCTAGTTCCCACAATATGAAATTCACAGTCATTTGTCCTCTTGACAAACTTCGAAGGGGACTTTGATGGTTGCAGCTCTGGGACCCAGCAGGGTTCTCTGGGCCTGTAATAAGGCTGGGCAGACAGGTCCGTAACTGGGAGTTTTTCAAACAGTTTCCTGCACTGTCATCTCCACCAGATCCTTCTTCCTTGGACCTTTCCCCCAATCTTAGGTAATGCCTGTGCATAATTTGACAAATCTGACCATGGTCCCTTCACCCCCAGCAGGAGTCTCACCATGAACTGAGAGGAGGAGAAACAAAAACCCACAGGCCATAGCATTCAGCCAGGCATGAAGCAGTTGTCTCAGAACGTCATCTTCAGGCCTGTGTCAGCCTTGCTGGGGGATCTGCAGCAGTCTTTCAAGGCTTTGCCCAGTCTGGAGTTTGGACACAGCAAGAAGTAGGCGGGGCAAAGTGGGTATTGCAAAAGAGTGGCACTGACCTGGGCAGAGTTCCTGGGGAGCCTGTGGCCAACAGGGGTGCTTATCTGCCTTCCCCCTATCATGCCCCCTTCAGCCTCCTAGAAGATGCTGAGTGGCTTCTGTAGCCCCTCGGAGTTACTAGGCACCCTCTCCTCAAACCAGGGGTCACTATGTTTGCCGTCGTTGTAGGCATCAGCATCTGGGACCCCAAGAGTGAGAGCTGAGAGAAGGGACCAGAGGCTGTATACTTAGGGGGGCTTATCTGATAAGGTGCACAGATGTAGAATGGAATGACCTTCGATAGTGGTGAAGGGAATCACTTGAGCTAGGGTAGGGAGTTGTGACTGTGTCCTTCTTCCTGTAAGCTCCTCCGAGCTTTCTAGCCTTCTTATTTCCAGGGACCCGCTTCACTGGTCTCTCATCCATTATAGTCCCTGGTCTGCATAGGCCTTTCCCCACTCTGTCATGGCCCCTCTTTTGAAACGTACTCATGAATCTCGAGCTTTTTAACGATCCTTACCCCTCCCCCCCCCCAAAAAAAAATAGGACTTTCACTCTCCTATCGCGGTAGAGTTCACGGTCACTTATGCCCCTAACAAGCATTTAACTAGTGCCTACTTGTCCCAAACTCTGGTGACTTGGCAGGTCACTCCTGGGCCTATGGTTCCGCAGCGGAGGCAGGTGCATCACTGGGAGATTTTGAAACACCAAGAACCTTGTCAGGATCGCGGGAAACCAGGTAGGGCACAGGAGAACCTCCTGACCTGACTTTCGGGAGGAAGTGGTGCGGGGCTCAACCTCCGAAGGCCTTTTGTGCCCTCCGACCAACGGCATTGGCCTCTGCGTTCCAGCTCCGCATGGTCACACGGCCCAGCGTCGCCGGGGTACCTTCTCTTAGCTGGAGCCATCAGCATTTCCCCCAGTCCTAGTAGCCAGCACACCAAAGCCACTGCTTTTCTCAAACCCGAGGCCGAACCTGGCGAGCAACACTTGTCCCTAGCGCGACCCCGTAGCCACGCCACGCCCACTTCGCGTTCCCAGGAAGTGCGCGGGTCGGAGCGGAAGTGTACGCGGACCGGTTCTCCCGCGGTGCCGGGATGCTGGGCGGCGGCGGTGGCGTGGGGGGCGGGGGTCTCCTGGAGAACGTCAACCCCCTCATCTATGAGCGCTCTGGGGAGCGGCCAGTGACGGCGGGCGAGGAGGACGAGCAGGTCCCCGACAGCATCGACGCTCGTGAGATCTTCGATATCCGCTGCTGCTGGGCGGGGGCGCGGGGGCTTGGAGACAGAGGGGAGAAGTGTGTTCAGCAGCTGGTGGAGGAGTATGCCAGCCAGCCTTTCCTGGTGGAGGTTTTGAGTGGGCAAGAACTCAGAGTTCCTTTTCCTTCACTTGACACATCTTATTCGTTCCATCAATGACCCGGAGCATCCTCTAACGCTAGAGGAATTGAATGTAGTAGAGCAAGTTCGGGTGCAGGTGAGTCACTCCCAGGTGTCAGAGGGAAGCGACTTGTTGGGGTTCAGTAAGGTTCCATTGTACTTCAGGGGCTGGAGTTCTCTCAGTTCACGGATACCTGGAGGGATCTTTGTGGTGGGGTGGAGAGGATTGCTGTGCCCATTTTAAGGATGTTCAAACTGAGGCCCATAAGATTGGGTGACTTGACCACAGCAACGAACTAAAAAGAGGGCTTCTTGGGCTGGAGGTGACTGATCCTTGACATATCCCCTCCCCTCCCGCCATCGCCAGGTTAGCGACCCCGAGAGCACAGTGGCTGTAGCCTTCACACCCACCATTCCTCACTGCAGCATGGCCACCCTTATTGGCCTGTCCATCAAAGTCAAGCTTCTGCGCTCTCTTCCCCAGCGTTTCAAGGTCAGTTGGAGTTAAGCCTCGCGAGTGAAACAAGTGTGAGGGTCTGCTACTGAGGACAGGGGACCCGGAGCACAGGAACATGGAGAGGAATCAGAGTGGGGCCTGTAAGGATCCCAGCTTGCAGAAAGAAAACTCTCCAAGTTGATGTATGGCAAGAATAAAGATCTGAGCTGTAAGGTGCAAAAAAAATAGTGAGATCTGTGGCACGAAGGGTAGTAGGGAGCTGTAGAAGAATTTGGATCAGGGATGGGGCACAGGTAAGTCTTTAAATCAACAGTAGTTGGCAATTCTTTGGGTAGAGTTGGAGTGGCTGTGCATGGGTCTGGGGTGAAATGGAGGGGCCAGAGTCCAGAGGCATGACTAGGAGGAAGGATGGTTTGGACATGGTGACTGAGGGTCTGGAGGGAGAGGGGAGAAGGTGGACAGGTGGATTGTGCTCAGGCTCAGGTTATCTCCCTCCCAGATGGATGTGCACATTACCCCAGGGACCCATGCCTCGGAGCATGCAGGTAAGTGTGGACTGGTGTTGAGAGTGATGTCCTGGGGCCCTGTGCTATCTGAGGTGGTCCCCTTGCCACAGTGGTTTGTAGGACAACATTGGGGGTGGGGGACTAGGTGAGTGAAATTGTGAAAGACTCTTCAGTGAAGATGGTAGCGTAGACTAAAGCTGGCCTAACTTGAGTCTCCTGCTTACCATGTTACTCGCTTTCCACACTCCCCGAGTACACAGGACCATTGCGTCAACCTTCAGCATTACTGAAAGCAGACTTGAGCAACCAGATGGGCGGGGTCCTAGGTGTGGGCTCAGACTTGGAGTCCTGGGAAGGTGACAGGAGAACCTTATTAGTGGGAATTTAGCCTATACTAAAGCTCAGAGGCAGGCCTGGCTAGTGCTGGCTTTGATGCTGCCTTTTCCACCTCTTCTTCCACACAGTGAACAAACAGCTTGCAGATAAGGAGCGTGTGGCAGCTGCCCTGGAGAATACTCACCTGCTGGAGGTTGTGAATCAGTGCCTGTCAGCTCGCACCTGAGCCTCACTTTTGGCTCCCAGCCTGCACACTGGTGTACCCGATCCAGTTCCACACAGGGCTCATGACTTTGTTTTCTTGAATCACTGACAGTGAGAAGCTAACATTTTGCATTTTGTAATAAACCCTTAATTTATATTCATTTCCCAGTATGCCTTAGTGTCTTTTGTCTTGATGGAATCACTTGGGATTAAGGAAGGGTAGTGGAAGTGACTGCCTAAGCAGGGTGGGCCCGTGCGGTACAATTCATTATTTCTAAAATCTCTCCCAGTCTTTTTTTTTGGGGGGTGGGGCTGATGTTTGAACTCAGTGCTTTTCACTTACAAAGCAGGCACTCTACCACTTGAGCCACACCTCTAGTCCTCTCCTAGCCTTTTGATTAAGGAAAATTTTAAGTACACAAAAATTTGAAGGAGAGGTAGAGTGGCTCAAGCAGTAGAGCCCCTTCCTAGCAAGTATGAGGCCCTGAGTTCAATCCCCAGTACTGAAAAAAAATATTTTTTTGAAGGAATAATATATGATTATGCCTGTATACCTAACACCATCACTAGGTTCAACAGTTGTTGACCTGTTGTAACACTGGCCTTATTTTTGTGTATTTATAAAAATATATTTTTCAGAGTAATCTGCAAAGACATAACCCTTCACTTTGAATTACTATATCCTACATCTATATAAGATAAGCCACAGTACTTTGGTCAAAATATGAGCAATTCCTTAAATTATTAATATCTAGTCATATATGAACTTCCCAAAAACGGCATTGGTAGTCTTTTTTAAAGATTAATTGAGGTTTATATATTGCATTTATTTATCTCTCTTTCACCTCTTCTAGAATTGTCTTTTCCACTCCCATTATGATAGTCAGCTTTCTGTCACTAACAAATACCTGAGATAATCAGCTTAGAACAGGTTTATTCATGAACACAGTTTTGGAGATTTTAGCCCATAATTGGTTGACCCTGTTGTTTTGGGGCCTATGGTGAGGCAGCACATCATGGCAGGAGCAAAACCACTCATGTTACAGTCAGGATAGAAAAGAGAGGAAGACAAAGGAGTTGGGGACCTGTTGTCCCTTCCAAGGGTGCTCCCAGTGATCTGAAGACCTCCCACTAGGCCCAACCTATTCCATCACCTGTCAATATCTCCACTGTGGACAATAATCTAACACATAGACTTTTGGGGAGCATTTCAGATTCAAACTCCAGCACCAACCTTTGTATTTCTTGACACTCCCTTTCAAAATATCCAGGTGAGTTGTCCTGGAGAAGTCCTGCCATTTGCCTTGTGCCTTTTGTCTACTGTTCCCTATAAACTGGAGGTTGGTCTATCCACCTGAATGAGTTTGGGTTTGAGTTTCACCCAGGAGAATCATATGTATACCGTAATACTCACCAGTAGGTGTGTGATGCCAGTTTGTCCCACTGGTGGTGATACTCAGTCTGGTCTCCAGGGCAGTGATATCAGCTTTCTCTGCTGAAAGGATCCTGTGGAGTCCTCTCCATCAACCCTCCAGATGCTGGGTAAGAGGAGAAACTTAGCTCCATGAAGTGATATGCTTAGGTCTAGGGCTTCTACCTCCCTCTGGTCCTGTGCCCAGAGTGCACTGGGTCATCCAGAGGTACTGTGGGGCTTAGATCTCGACTCAGCTCTTTCCCAGGGCTCTCTGCCTTATGATTCCCTGCCTCAGTATCTTTCTCTGAGGATAAATGGGAACACCCCACACCTTCTGGGACTCAGATATGCTTTTGAGCAGAGTCCTCATGGAGCCTCAGCAGGGAGCCTAGCCACTTGGCAAATCTCTTTTTTTGGTTTTGGTTGTACTGGGTTTTGAACTCAGGGTCTCACACTTGCTAAGCAAATGCTCGATCATTGAGTCATGCCCTTAGCTCTTTTTGCTTTTATTTTTCAGATGGGCTCACACTTTTACCCTCTTCTGCCCGGAGCTGGCCTCAGACCCTCATATTCCTCTTTGCCTCCCAAGGAGCTGGGGATTATACGCATGTGCCATCATGCCCAACTTGTTTTTTGACATAGGGTCTTGCTAACTTTTTTTGCCCTGGCTTTCCTTGAACCTTGATCCTCCCATTTCAACCTTCAGAGTATCTGGAACTACAGGTGTGCATCGCCACACCCTGGGCAAATCTGTTTTTGAGGACCCAGTGACAACACCAAACCTGTCCTAAGAGTGGACATTGGGTTGAGGGCTTTACATTTTACTGTCTAGTCAGTCAGTTTTCCATCCAGCCCTGACCAACAGTTGTTTTCTTTCTTTTTTGGCGGGCCTGGGATTTGAACTCAGGACTTCATGCTTCTAAAGCAAGCACTCTACTGCCTGAGCCATACCTCCAGTTCATTTTGCTCTGGTTATTTTGGAGGTGGGGGTCTCATGAACTCTGCCTGGGTTAGCCTCAAACCATGATCTTTTCATCAGCCTCCCAAGTAGATAGGATTATAGGCATGAGCCACTGGTGCCCAGCTTGCTTTTCTTTTTCAGTCCTTATTTGCAGGTGAGGAAATGGGCTTCTGTAATAGTGTCCTCCTCAAAACTTCCAGCTAGGAAGTAAAGGGGAACCTGAGCAGGTGCTGCTTAGCTGGCAGGGGGCGCTGTTGCCTCTGTAGAAGGACCTAGGCCCATCCCAGCCCCTAGTTACTGTTCTCATCCCAGCTCACTTAGGAGCAGTAGCTTTAGGGTTGGTGGAGTGGCTCAAATGTTTGAGCTCCTGCCTAGCAAGTGTGAAGCCCTGAGTTCAAATCTTAGTACAACCACCACCAAAAAAAAAAAAGTGGCTTTGCCATCTGATGACTTAAGAGGAAGCTCTGGGTGTGACTGCCCAAGATAGGAGAGGTGAAGTCATCAGCCCATGTCATTCAGAGTCTCTTCAGCTGGTATATGGGGATAGTCATGACAATCTTGGGACTGCTTTCTAAGGATTTAAAATGGCCTTGGAATCTGCCAAAAACTGTTAAAAACTTGGGGAGAGGAAGGAGTGTGGTTAAGAAAGAGTAATTAGATGGGGTGAATTTGATCAAAGATTATGTGCATGTTGTAAATGTCATAACAAATCCCCTTTGTGCAATTAATTTATGAAAATAAAAATTACAAAATAAAATAAAATAGTCCTGACCTATCTCTGATGAGTCCCCATTTCCATGGATAAAGTTGCTGAATGCTCCAGAAAGGCAGGATGACAGATCGTGCCCAGGGAACCTTCCTGAACTATAGGTCTCACCATGTGTGAACTTCTGCCCTCACAGACCCCATCTGAGGTGGTCATGGTGTCTGTGTTCAGCTAGAAATGGGGGGGTCACAGGGGAGGCAAGAGTCACTAAGTCGTTTTCTGTCTTTCTTGGCAGGCAGAGTACAGTGGATAAGGGACACCACACTGCTCATGCCACAGCTGGCATTTCAGATAGTCTACTTGATAGTCTTGACTCATCTATGCCTGGACCCTGGCTGCCTGCAGAACACCATCTGTGCATACCGGGCCAGTTCCCAAGGAACTTTCTGGAACCCCAGCTGCAGAGTGAAGACATAGGAGTACAGGGGGATGATGAAGTTTAAGTTCTCTGAAACCCTCTACCAGGTATATCTGGCTCTGTTATTTCTGGCCACTGACTCCTCAGGCCTTGGTTACAATGTCTACAAAATGGGAATAACAAATCATAGCTAAGTGAGATTGACCCAGGGATCCGATGACACATAGGAATATTACCAGCCATGTTTATGTCAATTTTCTTTTTTTCTTTCCTTCTTTCTTTCTCTCTTTTCTTTCTTTCTTTCTTTCTCTTTTCGTCCTTCCTTCCCTTCCTCCTTCCTTCCCTCCCTTTCCTTCCTTTCTTTTTTCTCTCTTTCCTTCCCCTTTCCTTCTTTCCTTTCTCTCTCCCTGCCCTTCCTTCCTTCCTTCCTTCCTTTGCTTTTTCTCTGTGTGTTATCCAGGCTGGAGTGCAGTGGCTATTCACAGGCACAGTCCCACTACTGATCATCAAGGAGTTTTGACCTGCTCCACTTCTAGCCTGGGCAGGTTCAGTCCTCCTTAGGCAACGTAGTGGTACCCACTCCTGGGTACCTAGTACAGACACCCAATTAGCATTGGACACTACAGCCAAAGAATTCCTGGACCCAAGTGATCCTCCTGCGTTAGCCTCCTTGGACTACAGGTGTGCACCACAGGATCCCAGATCCTGCCAGCTATGTCTAATTCCACGCATCATCCTGCCTCTGGCACAAGGGCTGCACACAGTAGGTACTTAGTACAGGTCAGTGGAATGAATGAATGGAGCTTTAGAAAAGAACAGAGGCTCATGGGGGCTGTGGTGTGAGGAAGGGTGGGGACACTGAAGCCCAGCCAAGTTCTCATTGTCACCTCAGGGGAGGATGTAGGGTCCCACAGAGAGGAGATGGGTCTAGAGGACAGGGGAGAGATATCTTCATTGCTCCTGGGATCTCTGACTTCAGAGATCTCTCTGGTCCTGGAATCAAGAGAGAGCCTACCGATTCACTCAGCCTGCCAACCAAGGGGGATAACAGAAGTGTGCTGAGATCGTGCCACGTGCCAGTCTTGAGTCAGCTACCTTACTTTAGCATTTCGTGCTACTATGTCTCAGAATAACCCCCAGGAAGACATAACCAGTGGGATAAATGGACAGAGGGTCCAAAGGCTGGTTCCAGCCTCATTTTATTCCTTGTGGGCTGCTATAGTCAGCTCAGAAAGCTGAGAGGCCCAGACGGTAGGAGTGGGGTTATCTCAAGATTATGTCCTTGAGTTGGACCCTGAGGCCCTTGGCCATACCTAAGCTTCTGGTGAGTGTCTCTGGCCTGTTGGGGCACTACCAGAATGCCTGGTGTGTGACTGGCCCTGTGTGGATGCCGTTCCCTTGGCAATGAAGACACACTGCTGAGGTCAAGAGCTCAGATTACCAAAGGGGAAAGCCAGCCCTGTTTCCCTGTATGGCTCCTGCTGGGAAGAGCCACAGCTATCCCCCACACCCACCCTCTATCGGACACTCCACCACACACTCTTCCTACACCTAGGGACTCTTTCCAGCAGCACAGTGCATGTGTGTGTGTTGGGAGTTGGGAAGTCATAAGCACCCAACCAGGATTCCTGATGGTAAGCTATGTGCTGGCTCTAGTGACTTCTGTTCCCTGATGAGAGGCTAAGCCCATGATTCCCTCTTCCCACTGGGCCTTATCCAAGAACCCAAAACCAGGATGGGGCTGTCCAGACCTCCAAGATCCCTTCCTTATGGAGAGGATACATGGACCCTTCCATCCAGCTCTTGCCTACTTTGAACAAGGGGGCCCCACATGAACTCCCTAACCTTACTTCATCAAGCCCTTCTCAATCCAAGGCCTTCTTAGGTGTTGCCAAGGAAACATGCAGCAGCCAGAAAGTCTGGCCCAGATCTCCATGACAACCTGCTACAGCCCACTAGGGTCCATCCATCTTTGATGTCACCTGAGCCCCAAATGGGTGCCCTCCCACCCATCACAATCAAATGTCAGAGACTTACAGAAAGTTCCTGCCACAAAATATTCCATAACCTGTCTACCCCCAGTTCTCACCCCAGAGATGAGCAAGTGGGGCATAGGTCATGATTTCCAATTATGGCTAGACCAGTGAGGCTGAGAGAGAGGAAAGTCTCAGCAGGCTGCAAGCAGAGCCAGGACTAGACACACAGTCTCCCCATTACTTGTCCTTCCTTCTGTACCTTCCCCAACCAACAGCCCCTACCCTAGGTCTTGGGTGAGCTCTGGACAGTGGTGGCAGTGAATGGTGGTGAAGAGCTCCTCACCTCTTGCCCATACTCTGCACTTATGCCCCTCCTGGGTGGGATGTATGCTGAACAGCAGGCTTAGAGCTAGGAAGCAGGGAGAGCTAGAAGACTTTAAAGTGGCTGGCTTCTGCTGGCATACCACACTGTCCACCTGGATTTCCCCAGCTCTGGGCAACTTCCAGTCCAGGAGCAGAATGACCAGGGCCAGGGCCAGGGCCATGGGCAGATATTTTTAGCAGAGTTGCTGGCAGCTGTTTGGCCAGTGCTGGATGGTGGGGTGGGGGACTGAGTTCATCTTTCCCCTTCTCTGAACCTGTCTGTGTTTCCTCACCAGGATCCAAGCATGTACCTCCACCTGCTAGGACTACCAGAGTGTCCTCCTGGTCCTTCCCCAGCAGCCTCCCAGAGGTTCATGGGCAACACTAGCTCTCACCCTGAAAGGCAGTCTTTTTAGGAAGTATCTTCAACTTCCCAGAACAGAAAGGGAAGTGAGGAGGACTTGGTGTTGAAGCTAGAAATACCGGTTTAGGACCTCTAAATTCTGAGCCTGTAGGGAGCATGTGTCATAGGCCTAAATCTATCCAGTCCATAACTGGTCTAGTGACTTGGGCAACAGGCCAGGACTAAGCAAAAGAAGGGAGAATTCACTCTTAAAGGGCCAGATCTAGTATTGCCACAGAGAAGAGTTGCACTTGGCTGGTCCAGTTTATTTGCTGCCTGCCTCCCCATCAGGTCCCCCCTCATCTCACAACCCCCTTTCCTTCCTCCCCACTCTCTCTCTCTCTCTCTTCTCCCTTTCTCCCTCCAACATTCACATCCAGTCCCAGTCAGCTACCTACCCCACCCTGGCGGGTGGAGGGCATGTCTCAGCGGGTGTGAGGTCCCAGACTGGAAAGTGGGGGATTCCCCGCCAAGGCGACTACATCAGCCCAGCAAGCAGTGTGGACCGCGGGCGGGGGCGGGGGCGGAGGCGGGGGCGTGGGTGGGGACGAGGGCGGGCGGAGGCTTAAATAGGCGGCTCTGGCGCCCGGACCCAGAGCGGGCTGAGGACGCAGCAGAGCAGGCGGCAGGTGCAGCATCACCGAGGGTCTGAGTGTCTGAACTCGGGTCTGTGAGCGCGTTTTATCTGAGGTTCAGTGGGCCGTGTCGGATCCCGATCCTGGTCCTGTATCTCTGTGCGAGTGGGTGAGTGTCCCGACAGAGCGGAGTGGGTAGCACCGCCTGGGTGCGTATGGATAGGCTAAGCCCAGCTTAATCACAGATTAAAGCGCAAAGACCCTGGTGGCTGGGAGTGGGTTGGGAGGACGCCCAGAGCATTTTGCCTGACTCTGGGTCCCACCTCCATCGTGGCTTATATGGCCATCCCGGTTCCCAATCCCCCCAGGCGGCGTCGGACGAGATGACCCTGAATGGCTGCGGCAGCGGAGCGGGCGGGAGCCGTGGTGGGGGCCGGGAGCGCGAGCGCCGTCGGGGCAGCACTCCCTGGGGCCCGGCGCCACCGCTGCACCGTCGAAGCATGCCGGTGGACGAGCGCGACCTGCAGGCGGCGCTGGCCCCAGGCGCCCTGGCAGCTACCGCGGCCGCGACCGCGACCCAGGGTCCGAGGCTTTACTGGCCCGAGGGCTCCTCCGACTCGCTCAGCTCGGGAGGCAGCGGCTCAGATGAGAGCGTTTACAAGGTGCTGCTGCTGGGAGCGCCTGGCGTGGGCAAGAGTGCTCTGGCGCGCATCTTCGGTGGTGTAGAGGATGGGCCTGATGCAGAGGCCGCAGGTGAGGGAATGGGACTGCTCCAGGGAAGGGAGACACCATGGTTAGGACAGGGAGCTGTGCCATGGGATTCCAAGGACGCCTTGAGAATCATGTCTCTATTTTCCCATTTCAAGATGAGGAAACTAAGGGAGAAGGGCCTCTACCAACGGCCCCCTCACCCCAGTGCCACGTGCCAGCCTTTGGTAGGCAAGAAATGCCCGGAATAGAACACCCAAGACTTAGATATGACTGTGCGCAGGACATTCCTTCTTCCAGTTGGCAGGAATACAACCAGAGGGAGTTTCTAGGAGAAGAGCCTTAGGTGGCCAAGGCCCCAGGGGATGCGACAGTCAGTATTCTAATTCCAGCTACTGCAATCATCACAACTGCCCTGGGCCCAGGCAGCAGGAGCACAGCCAGCACTGGAATGGACACTTAGAACGTTGCTAGCTTGGGGAGCATGTAGCAGGAGGTCAGGCACACCATGCCTTCCATCCTCCAGCTCCCAGCCTTGTCATTTTTGCTGCCCATAGCAGCCATCTGCAAGTGGAGGGCAGTGTTAAGGGAGCTCTGGAAAGGAGTGGAAGGGTGTGGTCAGAGCAGGAAATTGGGCAATGGGGGCTTTTGACGGTCAACTGGTAACCTGGCTAATGACCTCCTGTCTAGGACACACATATGATCGCTCCATCATGGTGGACGGAGAAGAAGCATCACTCATGGTCTATGACATTTGGGAGCAGGTAGGATGTAGGCTGGGACTCAGGGTAGGAGTGGGAGAAGTGAGCTGGGGTAGGGTCCTGCTGGGAGTGAGGGGCTCCCTGCAGGGGCATGGGGACTGTTGAGCATCTATATGTATGTATGTGTTCTACAGGATGGGGGCCGCTGGCTGCCTGGCCACTGCATGGCCATGGGGGATGCATATGTCATCGTGTACTCAATAACTGACAAGGGCAGCTTTGAGAAGGCCTCAGAACTTCGGGTCAGCTGCGGAGGGCACGGCAGTCAGACGACGTGCCCATCATCCTTGTGGGCAACAAAAGTGACTTGGTGCGCTCTCGTGAGGTCTCCGTGGATGGTGAGCAGGCAGCAAATCAAGACAGGGAGGGAGATCCTAGCTGGGCTGTGGGCCAGTCTTGGCTCAGCTTGAGTCCCTGGGGATCATCAGTGGCTAAAAATGTTCAGGTGGAAAACTTGGGGTGGAGGGAGATGAGACAGTTGATGCCCACCCACAGGGCACCTAAAGACCTGAGAGGGCTGGAAAAAGAACCAGATCTGCTAAGGGAGTTAAGCCAGCTCAGAGCCCTCCCCTCCTGCCATAACAGGTATTTGTGTGTGGAGAGTGGGGCGAGCGAGGGTTCATATGTGTAAGAAAGTAAAGGGAATCAGGCCAGGCGCACAGAGCCTGCTTTCAGGCTGGGGCCAGTCTCAGAGTCAGCTTGGTCCTCCCTGTCAGGCTCAGCATTCTCTGTGGCCTCCAGCACTGAACCCCTCAGAGAAACCCAGCAGACGCTTGGCAGCACTGCCTCCCCGAGAGTCCACTTGATTACTATTCATCATAATATAACATCAAATCATAAAACACTTAAGCTGACTAGATAGTTCTCATTTTCCTTGGCTGACTACCATAGTACTTCTGTTTAAATGTCAGGCTTCAAATAAATGAATGAATAAATGAACATCTTTTTGTAGGCCACCATTTTAGGGGATCCTTAAACACAGGCACATTCTGCCTCTGGGATGACCCAGCTATGCCCTGGACAGTCAGTTAAGGAGCTGGGATCTCTCAGGACTCCCCTTTCATTACCCGAGTTTTCCTGTGTGGTAGCTGCTGGGATGGCAGTTTGTGTGGGCTTTCCCATACACCCTTTGTTTACTGGTATGCATCTATTCCCACTACACCAGAGGGCCGGGCCTGCGCCGTGGTCTTTGACTGCAAGTTCATAGAGACGTCAGCAGCACTGCACCACAACGTCCAGGCACTGTTTGAGGGTGTTGTGCGTCAGATACGCCTGCGCAGAGACAGCAAAGAGGACAATGCAAGAAGGCAAGCTGGTACCCGGCGGCGGGAGAGCCTCGGCAAGAAGGCAAAGCGCTTCCTGGGTCGCATTGTAGCCCGCAACAGCCGCAAGATGGCCTTCCGTGCCAAGTCCAAGTCCTGCCATGACCTGTCAGTTCTCTAAGGCCCTGCGGGCTCCCACTGCAGTGGGCAGATAGATGGATGGGACTGGCCCAGCCAACTACCCTAGGCGCCTTAGGGCTGGTACACTGAGGTGCTGCCAGCTGGGCATGCTCCACCTCGTGGGCTTGGACAGATAGACAGTGCTGCCCAGGGAGGCAGATCCCAGTGGCCAGTGAGGGCTGGACCCACAGAGATGCATGTGCAGGCCCATGTGCACCCCAGGCAGCAGCCTGAGCCCAGCCCTCAGGCCAGGCCTGTGCATGGGGACGGGACTCTGCCTTTCTCCACACTGGGTGTGCATGCCCTAGAGAGAGGCTGTTCAGTGTGGTTGCTATTTGTTTACATGCAGATTTTTGTAATAAAGACTATTTCCTGACATGTCAGGGCTGTTGACTGTGTCTTTCCCATTTCAGGGATTCAGCAGCAGGAGGGGTTTCTGAAATTGAGAGACAGGGGCTCCCTAACCACACAACTGAGTGTGGTTAGGACCTTGATGGTCCTAACGTTTGGCCTGGTTATAGCCAGCAGGTCAGAGAGGGTAGGTGGGGGTACTGCATGGCTTGGACGGGGGAGTCCAAGGAGCAGGAGGAGACACAAACCTCTCCAGCTCATATTCAGATCCTTCTGCATGGGACCCAGCATTGCCCAGCTGATTGAGGGTTCCATACCCCACAGAACATAAAGGGAAACTGAAGCTGCCCAAGGGAGCATGCCTTGCCTTGGGTCTCACAGCCTGACAAGATCCCTGGCTCTAGCTATGCAGCTGGTATTTCTGCCCTGTCTCTCTTGAGGGGCTGGGACTCAGCAAAGATGCAGGCAGGATGGGAGAGACTTCAGGGCCAGGTGAGGGGAAGGTTTGTTAAGAGTGGGGATGAAGGAGTCATATCGATACAGTGTGTGTGTGTGTGTGTGTGTGTGTGTGTGTGTGTGTGACTGTGATTTAAACACAGGGCTTCCCACTTGCAAAACAGGTGACTGAGCCATGCCTTTAATCCATTTTGCTCTGGTTATTTTGGAGAAGGGGTTTTGCAAACTATTTGCCTGGGCTGGCCTCAAACAGAGATCCTCCTGACCTCAGCCTCCCTAGTAGCTGGGATGACAAGTGTGAGCCACCAGCACCTGGCTACGTTCAGGCATTCTTGACTCCAGATGGATCTTCTACCTTGTGGCTGAGGTTGAGTGACTGGGTTGGGGTGGGGAGGTGTCTTCCTTTTCTCTCCTCTATAAGTGGCCATACCAGCATGGGCTAATTTGATTTGGGCAAGAAAGCTCCCTGGAGCCCTCTCTGCCTGGAATGTAAGATTTTTATTTTAATTTCCATGTTTACTTCTTTTCTTCCCGCATTTTTGTCAGTGCATATTAATTGTACAGTGTGAGGGGTTCTTTGTAATATTACCATACATTCACTTAAAATACCTTGATCATATTCACTCCCTCTATTACTCTTCTTGTCCTCCATCCTGGAATGTGGATCTTGCATTTGTGTAGGAATATGTCCCTGTATGCTTATGGCTGTCTCTCCACCCACACCCACCTGGGAAGGGGAACCCACGGCTTCCTCACCTTGATCCATGCAGGTGCCTGCAGAGGAGTTTACTTACAGTAGTCCCCCATTATCTACAGTTTTGATTGTAGTTTCAGTTACCCTTGGTTGACTGTAGTCTGAAAACATTAAATGAAAAATTCCAAAAACAATTCATAAATTTTGAATTGCATGATGTTCTGCATAGCATGGTGACATCTCAAGCCACCCAGCTCTCTTACTCAGAATGTGAATCATCTTTTGCCCAGAGGATCCATGCTGTATATGCTACCTCTCCGTTAGTCACCTAGAAGCCATTGCAACTATCAGATCAACTATCTTGGTATCACAGTGCTAGTTATCATGTAACCTTTATTTTAGTAAAGAATGGCCCCTAAAGCACAAGGGCAGTGATATTGGCAACTCAGTTATGCCAAAGAGAAGCTGTAAAGTGAAAAGGTAAAAGCTTATAAAGTATGCATGTGTAGGCAAAAACACATATATAGAGAGTCTGGTACTGTCTGTGGTCTCAGGCAGCCATTCACTGGGAGTCTTGGATCATATCCCCAGTGGATAAGGAGGACGACTGTACATGGTTTTGGAAATGAACATTCCCATTTGGTGGTGGGTAGGAAGTGGCTGAGTGGAGACTGGTATACAGATCTGCACATCTCCAAAGCCTAGAGGCACCTGGTGGGGGAAGGTTCCTAAGAAGGCTCCAAACCAGGGTCCATACATTTCTTCATTTGTTCCATCTATTTGTTTTACAGACCCCTTGGAGCCCTTAAGGCCTAGTTAGAATCCTGATTGCAACTTATCCAATGGCAAGAGGAAGTTTGAGGGCAGCTCCTCAGTGTGTGTTGGGGGAGTCCTTCTGAGACTCTCCCAAATGCCCCCCCCCGGCACCCCCTAGGGCAGTATTAACTGCCAGAGCTACTCCTGCTTCCCTCACCACCACCAACACACTTTGAGGCATGGGGAAGGTTGCTCTTTTCAGAGCAGGTGAGGGTTCCCAGGCCTGAAGAGGAACCCAGACCTTCCTGGATATGCTACCTACCAGCTGGACAAACCACTCAGTCTCTCTGTGTCCCAGTGTGTGACATGGGAACAATGCCCCCTTCCGAATGGAGTGGGCATACTAATGAACACAGGTGCTCAGAGCAGTGCTGCGTACATATAGGGACTCGATGCACGTGAGAACCCTTCAACATCCCCACGTAGCACTAATCCCAGCTGGGTGCCTAAGTGACCCCAAGGCAGGCAAACAATCAGCTGGTGAAAAAACTGGGGCAGCCGATTGGTCCTGGCCCAGGTTCCAACCTGAGAGGTTAACCAGATATTCAGTGGGAAGGCCCAAGCTTCCCTGGGGGAAAAACTGGAAAGCCCCAAGCATAGGGAGGGATAGGAAACCAGGATCTTCACACCCTATCCCCTCATCTGGGACACTCAGTCAGCCCTCACTGGGGGAGGGCTATATCTCCCTCAAGGTCACCTGAGCTGGCTCAATCTTCTTTTTCAGAGGCGTGACGTAGTCCATTGTCCTAGTCCAGCGTTCAGAGGCCAATGAGAGGACCTGGGAGGCTCAGGTGAGCTCACAGGCTATTGTTCCCACCCTCTGGTCCCACTGATGGGCAGTCTAGATCCCCTAATACCTACTTCAGGTCATGCATTGCTCATCTGCTTTTCCAGCACAACCTTCAGTCCTTATCTTAGCCCCACAGCTAGCTGGAAGCTGATGGGGCAAGGTAAGGGCCAGGTCACAGCTGGGACCACATGTCCTCCCCTGCGGGGACTCCTGGTCTAACAAATGAGAGACGAGCCTGTGTCCTCTGTGTATCGGTAAAAGCTGCACATGGTGTGGGGTGGGTCTGACCCAGCCTGTGAGCATAGGGGCTCTGAGCTGGGTACTAAAGCATGAGTAGGTACTCGCCATATCAGTGGAGAGTGGGAAGGGCATTCCAGGTGAAGGAATAGCACATGCTATTGTACTGCTGCAGATGCAGGTGTACAAGGAAGAAATGGGACCAAGTCTAGAATCACAGAAAAAGAAGTAGTGTCCAAGCCTAAAGGGCCAAGGAGTGCCCACTGGGTTGTGTCAGGGTGAAAGGGGTGCCAGGCCAATGATCACACCTCCTGGGGCTGGCAGTCACGGATGCTGAGCAGTCCCAGCTTTCCAAAGTCAATGAGTAACTTGGTGGGGTGGGGGCTAGGCCGGACCAGGCCTGCTGTTGTGAGTCCAGTGGTGTTTTTCACTTCTGAGCAAGTGTGGCCGGACCGCCTACCTGCTCAAGTGTCCACCTTGCCTTGCCCCACCCAGCCCAGCCTGCCTGAGCTCTCTGGAGAACAAGCCCTCTCCCCTGGCAGCTGGACCAAGTGAGCTGCCTTTGGCACCAGTGGGTGAGGGACTGGGAGCACATGGGTGGGATGGCCTGAGGTCGGGGCTGGGGAGACACTGCCCTGTTTTCCTGTTGTCCGGTGGAGGATTTCCTGGGATCATTTTGGTGTGGTTGGCGATGTTTCGTGATGCTGAGTGCCCACAAGAGAAGAGCTCCTGCCCTGGGGGCACTCTGTGTCTGGAGGGTGGCAGAGGGGAGCAGGAAGACCCCCTAGGACCAGCCGAGAGTTCTCTGTTCCAGCAGGAATTCTCTTGTGGTCAAGTCCCCAGTGACCTTGACCAGGCCCTGCCCTTCAGGCCTTGCTGCAACATGAGGCAATTACAGGAAGTGACCTTCAAAATTGTCTTTTGAGCTTCTAACTTTCTGATTTGGGGAACTGATTTGGAATCTACAAGCTGGGATGGAGACAAAGGTCTGGAGGTGGGACTCCTGTGGAGGTCCTTGTGGGGGCAAGAACCAAGAGGCAGGGTGGCTAGATCTGGGACCTCACTGCATCTAGTCGAGGAATCAGACATTTTCTTGCAGGCCACAGGGAGCTGTAGGCCTTTAGGGGAGGAAGAGGGGGCTAGTCTGAAGAGAACTCTCTGGCTGTGTGTATGGGGTGGAGCCCCTCTTCCTGCCCATCTGGACTGGATTCTCACTGCCATGTCCCTCAGGCCCAGTCTGACCATGGTTCCTGCCTGGCTGTGGCTGCTTTGCTTCTACATCCCCCAGGTGAGCTGGTGGATGCCTCCTCCTTCAAGTCCTGACAATGGGGGTTGGCACCTTTGCTTCCAACTCCACCTGGACCAATCACACTGACCATAAGGTGTGGGGGGTGGAGGTTCGGAGCTGGGGCTACAGGGCTGCTGTGTGGAGAGGGAAGTCAAAAGCCAGAGGGTGGATGGACTGAGGTATGACTAGGGAAGGGGCAGAAATTCCCCTTCCCCATTAGGTCTCAAAAGGAAGATAGACTCTGGGACCAAGGTGAGAATTCTCCCACAGGCTGAGGTCCAGGCTGCAGAGCTGCATGTGGAAGTCCCTGAAAACTATGGTGGAAATTTCCCTTTGTACCTGATCAAGGTGAGTCTGATAACTGGGTGGGCTACCACCAGCCAAGTCCTGCTTCTCCTACCTCCAGCACCCCTCCTTTCTTTTGCTCTGGCTCTCTTGTGAACACTGCTTTCTGGAGAGTATGTGTTACAGTATGAATAACTGGTAAGCTTTTAGTCCTAGAGAAGAGTAAAGCTTTGAGTTAAAGAATGAAATATTGGTCCTGGGCATGACAGTACACACCTGTAATCCTAGCACTGGGGAGGCTAAGGCAGGAGGATTGAGAGTTTGAGGCCAGCCTGGGCTACACAGAGAGATTTATCTCAAGAAAAAAAAATGAAATATTGGTGGGAAGTTCCAACTTTAGAGAGAGAGGCAGGGAGTTCTAGGTACACGGGAAATAGCTCTGGTTTTGAACTTCAATTTCAGTCCCATTAACTTTCTGGATTTATGATCTCAGGCAAGTGCTAACCCCCTCTGAGACTCAGTTTCCCTACATATAAAATGGAGCCATTGGCCATGCCTGGCCCCTACTCCTTTTGCCTCAATTCTCAATCACCAGTTGCCACTGCCCAGTAAGGATGCTGAAGGCCAGATTGTGTTATCAGGGGACTCAGGTGTGGCAGCTGAAGACCTCTTTTCTGTGGATCGAGAGTCTGGTTTCCTGATGGTGACCAGGGCCTTGGACCGAGAGGAAAAGGCAGAGTACCAGCTACAGGTAAGTCTTAGTGAGGTATAGGAGATGGTAGGCAAGGCAGAGCTAGGCACTGACTTTCCTTCCCTGACAGGTCACCCTGGAGACTGAGGATGGACGTGTCTTGTGGGGCCCACAGTCTGTGACTGTGCATGTAAAGGATGAGAATGACCAGGTGCCCCAATTCTCCCAGGCCATCTACAGAGCTCACCTGAGCCAGGGCACCAAGCCTGGTGAGTGACCAGGGTAACCAACTTGCAGCACAGCCAGGTGGGCACTGATGCGACAGCAGAGAGTAAAGAGATGAAGTCAGCATAGGGACAGACTAGTAATGGTTTAAACTGTTCCCTCCAACTCTGTCCCATTTTGTACCCTTCCACCCCACTGAGGGTCCCATCTACTCTTGGCCTCAGTTTGCTCATCTGTGAAGTGAGATAAAAGCTGTGGCCATCTCCAGAACCCTGATATGATGACAGATATGGAAGAAAGAGCCAGGAAGGGATAGAGGAGACAGCGGAGACTCCCCACCTCCATTTTCCCTTAAGGTTTATCTCCACACCTACACCAGGCATCCCCTTCCTCTTCCTTGAGGCTTTGGATGAGGATGCGCCAGGCACAGCCAACTCAGATCTTCGATTTCACATGCTGAGCCAGGCCCCAGCCCAACCTGCACCACACTTGTTCCTGCTGGAGCCTCATCTGGGAGCTCTGGCCCTCAGCCCCCAGGGTGAGCCTGAGTTTGGTGCAATGGAGGGAGGGTCAGGGAATGCTGGAGAAGGGGGCCTCTGAGCGATAAGGGATGGATGGGTTAGAGCTGAGATGAAAGGAAAGGACATTGGAAGTCAAGGCCATGATGGGGTCATGCATGGAGAGTAAGGAAATGGGGTGGATGGAATGCCTCAGCTCCACCCTCTGGAGACCAGAAAGGAATGGTTGAAAGGACTATAATCAGGACACCTTTAGACTGATATGGCACCTGAGAGCTCAGACAAGAGGCACAGGCTAGGGATGGAAAGAGAAATGAATCACCTCAACCCAACCAGCCCCCTTTCACCCCAACCACCCATATAGCCCATCTGTTCAACACTTGCTCATTCACACTCTCCTATCCACACATCCAAACTCCCATCCATCCATCTAGTCTACCCACCCTCCAACCAATCGTCTACTCATCTACTCAATTCCCCAACCTAGCCATTCATCCACCCCTCCAGTCCATTAGCCACTCACTATATGGGTAGTCAAGTCCTAGCTGGATGCTCATGATGACACTAAAAGTCCCTCTCATCGCTTGGCCAAGTGTCTCAGGAACATCTGCCACCTGCTTGTGTTTAGTACCTGCTGAGAAGGAGGCTATGGACCTTTCTCCCTGGCCCCATGCTCAGCTGACCATCCTACCCCTTTTAGGGAGCCTAGAACATGCCCTGAAAGGGCCCTACCAGCTGTTGGTGCAGGTCAAGGACATGGGTGACCAGGTCTCAGGCCACCAGGCCACAGCCACTGTAGAGATCTCCATATTAGAGAACACCTGGGTGCCCCTAGAGCCTACACACCTGGCAGAGAATCTCAAAGTCCCGTACCCACATGTCATTGCCCAGGTGAGTAAGTGGCTATCAGCAGCTGCAGCAGCCCCATGGATGGGACAGCTGGGCCTGATTCCAATAGACATTTGGGAGGAGGGTCTAGGACCCAACTTGACCCTTGCTCCTTTCTCCAATCTTCCCATCACTTCTTGCTGTGAGGTGGGGAGTGTAAGACCTTGGAACCAAGTCCATACTCCCTCAACTGCCATCCTCTGGCATGTGTGGCTTTGTGTTCTGACCTCCTCAGTTTTCCTAAGGCTTACTCAGGGAGAACAGCTGGCACCTCTTGCTGCCTGAGGATTGTCACCCAGACCAGGAATGTCTCAGCCCTCCTTTAGGAATGCCCTGGGGGCAGGCCCAGCTTGAGAGGACAGATAATAAAATAACCTGGTCATTCAGGGACTCTGGCAGGGCCCAGGATTGGACTAGGGCACAGCAACTGTGGAGTTTCCACCACTAGTGCCCCAAACAGAAGGACCCTGCCTAGAGTTCAGGCCAATGGAGGGCAGCAATTTGCCTGGGGTCACTGTATTTGGGGTCCAGGCTTTTTGCTTGGGAATCAATTGGGGTACAAGGGCTAGCCCTTCCTGCCCCTCAGCCTGGGGTGCCTTCACTCCTCCCAGGTACACTGGAGTGGGGGGAACGTACACTATCACTTGGACAGCCAGCCCCCTGGACCCTTTGACGTGGACTCAGAGGGGAAACTCCATGTGACAAGAGAGCTGGACCGAGAGACCCAGGCTGAGGTGAGGTGAGAAGGAATCTGACAGGCAGCCTAGAGGATGCTTACTCACTGTCTGGTTAGCTTTTGGGGGTGTCACATCCCCCAGAGATGCTGAGGCAGTGGAAGAAAGCCTGGAAGAGCTGGAACTGGCCATTAGAAGGAACCTAGACCTAGGCCAGGCTGGAGATGCCCTTGGCCTTGACCTGAAGCCCCTCTACTGCCCACCACAGTACCTGCTCCAGGTGCGGGCGCAGAATTCTCGTGGTGAGGACTACGCAGAAGCCCTGGAGTTGCATGTGGTTGTGATGGATGAGAATGACAATGCACCTGTCTGCCTGCCAAGTGGCCCCTCAATCAAGATCCCTGAGCTCAGTCCCCCAGGTGGGCTGTAGACCTTGTCAGTGGTGAGGGAAGGGTGGAGTCCCTCTGGCCCTCATATGGAAGTCCTTCTCCAACACACACACACACACACACACACACACACACACACACAAGTTCAGTTTCAAATAAAAAAGAAGTAGGTGAGGGTGGGGTAAAGCCTATAGGCTGGGCTGTGATCCCACCCAGGCAGATGCTGTCTTGTAGGCACTGAAGTAACTAGGCTGTCTGCAGAGGATGCAGATGTCTCTGGCTCTCCCAATTCCCATGTTGTATATCGGCTGCTAACCCCTGACCTTGAGGAGGGAGCTGAAGGGAGATCCTTTGAGCTGGACCCCACCTCAGGCACTGTGACACTGGGGACTATCCCACTCCAAGCTGGCCAGAACATTCTGCTTCAGGTGCTGGCCATTGACCTGGCAGGAGCAGAGGGTGGTAAGTACCCTGATGGTGACCTGGGCCCCTGACCCTCTGTTCCTACCTGGGCCTCATCAGTAAGTCCTCCCCTGCTTCAGGCCTTAGCAGCACATGTGAGGTCGCAGTCGTCATCACAGACATCAATGACCATGCCCCTGAGTTCACCACTGCTCAGGTAAGTGGAAGCAGGAAGGAGACCTTGGGAAGGGTACCGGTGGGGCTCATAGCGTCACCATCTCTCTAGATTGGGCCTGTAAGCCTCCCTGAGGATGTAGAGCCTGGAACTCTGGTGGCCACCCTCATGGCCACTGATGCTGACCTTGAGCCTGCCTTCCGCCTCATGGACTTTGCCATTGAGGCAGGAGACACAGAAGGGATCTTCGGCTTGGACTGGGAGCCAGACTCTGGTCATGTCCAACTCATACTCCGAAAGGTAAGGGATTGGACAGGTGGGAAAGGGGTACACACACACATATGCATGCACAAGTATGCCACACCCTGGCCTATACAGTGACCCAGAAATCACTGGTTCCAGAACCTCAGCTATGAGGCGGCTCCACATCATAAGGTAGTAGTGGTGGTGCAGAACGTAGAGGAGCTAGTAGGCCCTGGCCCGGGCCCTGGAGCCACAGCCACAGTGACTGTACTGGTGGAGAGAGTGACACCACCCCTCAAGTTGGACCAGGAGAGCTACGAGGCCAGCATCCCAGTCAGCACTCCAGCTGGCTCCCTCCTTCTGACCATTCAGTCCTCAGACCCCACAAACAGAACTCTCAGGTAAGCTAGAATCTCCCCTGTACCCCAGGGATGACTCCAGAGTCTCACCGGGGGCTCAAACTATCTATGGCTTAGAATATTCTTCGAATGATGGCTAAAGCCAAGGTTATAACTCCTGGGAGGATCAGGGCTAGATGGGTGGGCAAGGAAGGGAAGGTGTGTTTAGACCCCATGAGAGCTCAGATTATGCTTCTCTACCTGGAGGGAAGACAGGGCCCTCTTCCACAACCACTGCCCAGAATGCAACACAGATAAGGCTGTTCCCAGGCTCTGACTCCACCAGCTCTCTTGGCAGGGGAACTAGTGAAGTTGAACCAGGCTCCCAGGTTCTGATAGCCCCTCCCCTCACTCCTAACAATCCCCAAGCTGGGGAGAGAGGTGCCTCCAGTCACAGAAACAATGTGGCACTGGAGCAAATAACAGGGACCTGGGGGTCTCTAAGCAAGACCTCATATATAGTCCCAGTGCCTCCCCACCCCAAATCTCCTCCTCTGGGCCTCAGGTTCTCCCTGGTCAATGACTCAGAGGGCTGGTTCTGCATCAAGGAGGTCTCTGGGGAAGTGCACACGGCCCAGACCTTGCAGGGCGCCCAGCCTGGGGACACATACACAGTGCTTGTGGAGGTCCAGGACGCAGGTACGGCCAGGCCTTGGCGGGAGGCCTCTTAGAGGGACTACCACATGCGAACTTCAGACTGACAGACAGACAGGCAGGACTGTGTTTCCTTTCTGGGCCTCTTGTAAATAACCACCCAGCCGCAGGCAGGAGAGAAGCACAAAGAGCTGGATCCATTGTCCCTCTCTGAGAATGGGTCTATCCCGAGGTGGGCCGGCCTGGCCTCTGCCTCGCGTCTCCTACCACTCCCCTAACTTGATCTTGAAATCCCCCAACCCTGTGTCCCTTATTCCCTGGACTGTGTCTCAGGGTGTTGCTTCAGAGGGTGGTTAAGGGAGAAGGTACTGGGCTAAGGGTAAAGAGGTAGAAGAGGGCCAGGAATTGCATCTAGGGTAGGCGTACTGAGCCAAATGGGAAACTGAGGCCAGGTATGAACTGTGAGTAGGATAAGCAGCTGGCCTCTACCCAGGAGGGCAAGGTCAGGAGGCCCAGGTCTCTGAGCTGGGTGGAGCACTATTCCAGGGTCGGGGCACTGCCATGTTGCTGGGCTCTGGCTCAGCAGCAAGAGGGGTGCTAAGGGTAGGTATGGCATCCAGAAAGGTGCGGGTGGGCCTGGCAGCTACTCAGATAGTGAAGGGGGTAAAGTCTGCTGTAAGGAAGAGACTGGTGTGGGGATGATGACAGGATGGGAGAAGGAGTGGAGGGAGAGTGGCAGGGAGTTTGCAGGGTGAGGCTGATGGTCTGTGCAGGGAGGGACCAACCCAGGGACTCCTGACTTACCCCCCATCCCCAACAATGCAGATGAACCACATCTCAGCACCTCTGCCACCATCATGGTCCACTTCCTGAAGGCCCCTCCTGTCCCAGCCCTGACTCTGGCCCCACTGTCCTCCCAACACCTCTGCACACCCCGCCAGGATTATGGGGTGGTCGTCAGTGGACGTGGCGAGGACCCCTACTTGGCCAGTGGGCATGGTCCCTACAGCTTTTCTCTTGGTCCTAATCCCACAGTGCAGCGGGACTGGCAGCTCCAACCTTTCAATGGTATTTGGTGGGGGGGAAAGGAGGGAGGCTGTGGCCAAGGCAGGGAAGGGGCCACTTGGAAGTGAGATGGGGTGGGGCTGGGCCTAGAGGGAGCAGCCCCGGAGGACCTGTCCAGATTAGTGACTCTGGTCATTGCCTCCAATCCAACAGATTCCCATGCTTACCTTACCCTGGCCCTACATTGGGTGGAGCCAGGTGAACACATGGTCCCTGTGGTTGTCCACCACAATGCCCAGACTTGGCAGTTCCTGGTCCGAGGTGAGGCACCTGCAGTTCCTGAGGAAGCTATCAGGCTGCAGGGGGAAGGAGCTGGGTATACATCATGCATGCTCACAAAGATATCATATGTCTGTACACACTTGCACATCTGTGACCAGGTCCCCATATCCATGTGCATCCTGCCACATGCACAGAGGGGCATGTACCTTCACACTCACACGCATACATGTACGTGCACAAAAACACTTATCAGCCATCTGGCCAGCCAAGGGGCTCCAAACAGCTGAAAGCCCTCCCTCACTGCTCTCACCTTTCTCCCCTCCCCACCAGTGATTGTGTGTCGTTGCAATGTGGAGGGGGAGTGCCTACGCAAGGTGGGCCACCTGAAGGGTATGCCCACGAAGCTGTCGGCAGTGGGTGTCCTCGTGGGCACCCTGGCAGCAATAGGTAATGGAGACTGGGTTCCTGTGTGTGGGGCAGGGGTTGGTGATGGGTGGTTGGAGTCAGAACCTGCAGATAAACAGTGTCACTGTCCCTATAGTGCCCCCAGGTCTGCAAAAGGAGCCTCCTTTTCCCCTTGTATCAGTCATCCTCAACATCATTGGGAACAGAATTCACCACTGCGTTATTATGTACTGAGTGTGAGTCAGCACATGGCTTACCACATGGGATCCTCTCTGCATCCCATGATGTAATTCTTCTTTCTCCCCATTCTGCAGATGGGGTCACTGTGGCTCTCTCTGTCCAAGTTTATACAGCCAGGATGTAGCAGAGCCCAGCTCTTTCCAGCCTAGTTCCTTTATTCCGAGTCACCCTGTCCGTCTCCTTTATTTCTTTAGCCCACTAAATGTTTTCCTGTGCTGGCTGTGCCCTAACACTATGATGGCCCTTTCTCTTGGAGATCAGTGGGAACAACTCACTGGCCTTCAGATGAACTCTACCCAAACTGTCCCCCGAGAAGTGGATGTTGGAGGTTGGGGTGTACTGGGGCAGCCAGTGAGATGAGGGACTGATGGGTGAAGAGCAGGCCAAACACTCAGCCTCCTCCAGGCAACAGGGGTCATATCTAGCCCAGCCTCAGGACACTGTCTAGGAAACTTCAGCTCTTTGTTAAACCAGTAGCAATAGCAGAGAGTCTACTGATGGACCTTCTGAGGGCTGATGCATCTCTCTTGGGCCCCTTAGGCTTCTTCCTCATCCTCATCTTTGCCCACCTGACCCTGGCGAGGAAGAAGGACCTGGATCAGCCAGCAGACAGCATGCCCCTGAAGGCGGCCGTCTGAGTGATCCAAGCAGCCCAAACTGGGAGCTTGGCTGCTGGCTCTATCTGAATCCACTGGGAAAAGGCCAGTGGGGGCTAGGACAGAGTAAAAGCCCCGCCACCTTCCTGGGACAGAGGCACTGTCACCAGACGTGTCTCTAGAGCCTGAACACTGATGTATGGGATTGCCCATGGGAGTGCTCCAAATGGCAGTTCATTGCCCAATAATAAAGCCCAGAGAGCCAGGAGGGGTCCTGAAGGATTACTTTGCCGGAGGCTGAGTGTCCACATGCATGTGTGCAGGCATGTGTGTGAGTGTGCTGTCATGCTTCTCCTCATCTGCTGCTGCACAAAATGGCTCTGGGGCTTGAGAGATAGTATTGGGGCTCCCTGTGAGAAAGGACTCAGGACATTATCTGGGATGTTGGTAAGATCTTGGGGTTAAAGCAAAGTGGATCATTTCCTTGGGCATCCAGAGCCCTGGAGGGGTAACTGTGCAGGTGTTAGTGGTGGAGGAGGGTCATTGATGTCCTGTCTTTTCAGGACATCATCTTTGCTATGGAGGGCACAGTCTTGTAAGCCCATGTCCTCTGCTCATGTGTGAGCACACCTGTGTCCCTGTTCATGAGCCACCTGTACTTAGGGATGAGCAGGGTCCCTCAGTCTCAGAAGCCTGAGCAAGAGTCTTGAGGGCTCTTCAAGGCAGCTACAAGAGACATGAGTCTGGGATGGGTCCTTCTGCCCCAGAGCAGGCTCCAAGCCACTGAGGATTTCACACACAGTCAGTGAGTGCGTGAGGCATCTGCAGAAATCAAGGAAGGGAGTCACTCAGATGGATACCACTGGGGTGGGACAGGGACCCTCATGGCTCACCCTGGCCCAAAATTAAGCCATGGCCCTGTGCCTTGACCATACCTCCAGACTGACTTGTAACCCCTGCCCCCAGACTGACTCCAGACAAACTGATCCGCATGTCTCCTTCCTAATGGTCACCAGGGAGCCAGAGTGGGACTTGATGTCCCAGGCACCCTGAGCCGATGATGGTAAATCACGGGGAAGGGAGAAAAACAACCTTGGTGGGGCCCAGCCCTATTTTTAGGAGATAATCTCTACTGCTGGCAGATTCTATGGGATGGGGGCCAAGCCCAACCAAGAGAGATGTGGCAGGCACACTGGCTGGCTTGAGGGAGCCTGCAGATGGACTCAGGGATGCCCCCTGGAGACTCTACTGACCTCGTCGGCCCAAGCAAGGCTCCCCAGCTCCCCCTCCCCATCTCTGCTTAGCCTGCACCCACTCAACAGCCTTCAGGGTGCAAATCACTTTAGAGGAAGCATCTCATCTAATCTTCCCATCAACCTGTCTGGGCGGGTCATTGACTCCCTTCATCCAGTGGAAGATCTCAATGGTCAGGAAGGTTAAGGGCTGTAGCTGGGAGTCTTGGGACCAGAGCCCAAGGCAGATCTGTGTGGCTGAGGTCTGTGATACCTCTCTAGAAGTATCCACAGTCTTCAGCTGGTCTCTCCTCCTGCAAGGTCTCCCAGAAAGGCCTTAGAGATCACCTGGTCTGCATCTTCTGGTAACAGTGAGAAAATTCATTGCAAAGAGATGGAGGGAACTCCCGCTTCATAAGCCAATGAGCTGGAACCTCCTTGCTCTCTGGGCCTTTGATGGAGATGGATAGGTAAGTGGATGCATGAACAGCAGGGTAGGTGAGTGGATAGATGGATGGGTAGCTAGATGGTGGGTAGGTGGTACCAAGTGGTAGAGGGCCTGCCTAGCAAACAGGAGGCCCTGAGTTCAAACCTCAGTATCATAAATAAATAAATAAATAAATATAAAGAGGAAGGAGAGGCTGAGAAAGGGGTGTGGCTTGTCCTGGATCACAGAGGGAAATAAGTACATTGGCAGTGGGTCAGTGAGTGCTTGTAGGGATTCATGATAGTGAGGAAGGCCTCCTGCTTCAGGCAGAGCCCATACTTTCACAGGACAAGGCAAGGGATAACTGGAGGTGCTGTCTGGGTGGAAGAGCATATGATTTATGCTCTGCCTCATCCTCACTGTGTGTTTTCAGATAAATCACCTTGCCTCTCTGAGCCTCAGTTTTACTTATTGATAGAATGGGCCTCATTTCGTGATGTTTTGGGGAGAATTAGATAAAATAATCCTCACACACAGTGCCAGGAACATCACAGGCACTGGATAATTGTGGCTTTCCCTAGTCCATGAGTTTTGAAGGAGCTTACTACAACTTCCTGTAGCCCTACACTCACACACTCACACTCTCTAGAGACCCAGGTTTTGGGGAGGGAGCATGGAGAAGGACCCTGGCTCCAGCTCCCACCAGGCGGACACTAGGAGACCCAGAACAAGACACTGCTCCCAGCCTGGGCTTCTTTCCTGACCCTAGGATCTCTCTGGTTCTGTGATGTTGAGGGGTCTCCCAGGTTTCTGACTGTGCTGGAGCTGGAGGGGATGGAGAAATTGGCCCCAGCAGTGGGCTCATACTCCCCCTCTCCTAGGCCCCATCCAGAAGCACAAGACCAGATCAAAGGGACCCAGCACTGAGGACCAGGAGGCAGACTTGGAAAGAATGTAAACATGAAGATATTTTTAAACTTTTTCCAGCCCTAGTGATAGAACTCTTGAAACAAGAAGCCCAGAGGTCAGTCTGGCCCTCATCTCCCCAAAATTGAAACAGTCTCGGGACCCTAGAGAGCTCCCTCACCCCTGCCACCACCCCCACCCACCTATCCCAGCGCCAGGACTCTAGCTTGGGCCTCAGAGCAGAAGTTCTTTCTGTGGTCCCACCTCCAGGTGTCCTGCTGCTCAGGAACAGAGCACCCTTGGGTAGGTAGGTGGGCTATATAGGGGAACAAGAAACAGGCCAGAGGGTCAAGGGGAAGAGTCACCTGAGAACAGGGGAGAGAGGAGGGTGCTGGAGCTGGGACAGGGTCGGGTAGGGAGTGGGGGGCCCCATTCATGTGGTGAGTCAGGCTGAGAGATGGCCACTAATGAAGGGACAGGGGGACCCGGCTCCTTTGATTACTCCCAGGTGTCACAGTGACTCATAAACAGGAGACAAAGTTCCCTGGACGTCCCCCTTCTCCGCATTTGGTGTCACGGTGATGCTTACCATGGGTTTCATGACAACAGAATGATGTGACCACCCTCACACACTTGCAGGAGTGTCACAAGATTTGTGCCGCAAAATCAGCTCTTACATGTCTCCTCCCCTGCACATGGGACATGGGGACCCTCACCGCATCCGTATCCCACTGGTCAGAGCCTGTGTTCTCAAGGGCATTCAGAAGTCAAGCTAGGCTGTGATCGTCAGAACAGTGAGGGCCCCTGGCCCAAGAGAGGCCTCAGCTGCCACTTTGAGTGCTTGAGGGAGTCATGGTGCCACCCTGGCCGGCTTAGGAGCCCAGTGGGGACAGCATCCAGCTCCAGGTCACACAGCTCCTGTGTGGAGAGCACAGACCAAGCTCACAAGACAGTGTGGTTCCCCAGATCCACTCTGCTACAGAGCAGGGCCAGGGGTTTAAGGTTTATCACTGGGTGTGATGGAACTTGGGCCCAGGATGACAGGGAGCTGGGAGCAGCTGGCGCTGATGGAGAGGGGGACCCAGAGACTTGTCCAGGTTACAGTGCCCCTGTGTGCCACTTGCTGTGACTGTTGCTATTCTTACCCAGTTGGCTGTGGCAAGGGTCAAAGATAGTGAAGGGGTGGGAGGGAGCCATGAGCACTGGCCCCTTATCTAACACATTCTCTGGAAACTTGGCAGGGGTTGCCAGCCTCTGGAGGGCCCAGGCAATGAGGGGATGAGATGGGTCACAGGGATAGAGTGGGGGCTGGGCTCCCTGAAGGAGCAACCTTTTCTATAGCCAGCCGAGATCTCCTCCAAACTGGCCTGGGGGTTTCCAGCAAGACTTCCTATGTGCTACCCTTGGTCCCTCCCCAGTCCACCCCAGAACACACTGCCATTGTTCCCATCACTGAACCTTGGGTTGGCTTCCTCAGTAAAGGTGCTGCCTCTAGGAAACAGCACTGGCCTGGGGGCCACAGAAGCCCCATCTGGCCCAAGTTCAACCCACTTCCTAGCTGTGTGACCTTGGACAAATCACTAGCCTTCTCTGAACTTCAGTTTCCTCATCCTTTTCCCAGGCTATTGTAGGAATGACAGGATCCAACAGTCAAGAAGGTGGACTAAAGGCTGCAACTGTACACGTGTAAGTGTGCATGCTATGTGCACACCCATGTGGGGGCCAGGATGGGAGAGGGGACATGCCCCCCCACCATGGAGACTCCCGCCCCATGGATTTTCCATTGGCACGTCAGCACCCTATCCCCCAAAATAGGCCCTCCAAGCCGTGTGCGACAGAGCCCAGACTGAGGGGCCTTTTTTTAGCTGCTCTTTGATTGTCAGCTCTTGAGCGGTTGCTATTTCCAGCCCCAACGCCTAGAGGAATAGGGCTAGCTCAGTGGGCCTGGATGGCTCCCCGATGGCATCCCCTGCCTGCCTGCTCACGCCCTGCACGGCCGGCAGGGAGAGCACACATACACTGCGGAGGGGGCTAGGGCTCAGTGTCCACCTCCAGGAAAACGGCAGATTGGCAAAATCTACCCACATTTATGGCACTCACTCTGTGGCCATTGCCCACTCTCTGTCCAGAGAAGAGCACATTTTGGGGGTTCACTGAAATAGTACAAGCCAAGCCCTGACTTAGCACAAGGGCTGACATACAATTGGCCCTAAAAATATTTTTAACAGTTAATATTATTGTTGTCATTACAGCTGCAGTCACTCTTGTTTATGTTGTTACAGCATTTTTTCTTTTCTTTTCTTTTTTTTTTTTTGGTGGTACTGGGATTTGAAATCAAGGCCTTTCATTTTCAGCTGTTCTACCACTTGAACCATGCCCCTAGCCCTTTGTGCTTTAGTTACTTTTCTTAGGGTCTTGAATTTCTTGAATTTGCTCAGGAAGCCTAGACTTTGGTCATCTTTTCCTATTTACTCTCC